GAATGGTGTTTTGTACATTTTCACTTCGAAATGTGCTTCGCGCCACAACGGCGTGCAATTTTTCATCTCTCCTCTGGCCAGCTGGCTCCGCACCCGCCGCTTTAGCGAGCCTACTTTCCGACCCTCCGGAGCCACAAATCATTGGAAAAACACACTGTTTCGCGACTTTCCTACCTTTTCGCGCATCTCCATCTTCTTTCTTCTTACTCTTTCTCTTCTACTCTTCTCTCTTCTGATCTTTCTCTTCTCTCTGCCTCTGCCCTGCTCTGCTTTTCATCTGTCCATATTGTCGGAAGTTTGACTTCTAAACTTCCTTCGACAAATCAACTAATTATGCTACATTACACTAATTACAGTATACTACACTACACTAATTGCATCTAATTACACTACACTACACTAGTTGCACTGCAGCACACTACAACTATAAATACATATGCAACTACAACTACACTGCATTGCACTACACTACGCTACACTACACTACACTAATTACACTGCAGCACACTACAACTACGCATGCAGCTACAACTACATTACATTGCACAACACTAGACTACACTACACTACACTTCACTGCACTGCACTACACTACACTGCACTACACTAATTACACTACATTACGCTACAACTACAACTACAGCTACAATTGTAACTACCGCTAAATTGCACTACACGACGCTACACCAATTACACTACACCACATACACTACAACTACAACTACACTACCTTACACTACACTAGACTACACTACACTATACCACAGTACAGTACACAACAGTACAGTACACTACAATACAGTACACTACAATACACTACACTAATTACACCACACCACAACTACCATTGCAACTGCAACTACACTACACTGATTACACATTACAGCTGCAACTCCACCACACCCCACTACAATTACAACTACAACTGCGCTGCACCACGCTACATCCAGCAGTTGTAGTAAGGTGACCACTGAAACCATTGCAGCCACTCCAAAAAACACAACTCCAACCACCTGTCAGTCCATCAGTGGATCGCTCTGCCATCCGTGATTCACAACAACCAACCTCTCCTATAGGCTTCCTATGTTTGAAACTTCCGCCACCGCCTTGCGCGGTACTACTGGTAAAATATGGTACAATATGGTACAATCATCTATAATCCCGAAAAATACATATCATCCCAGAAGTGTGGATTTTCATAATATAACCTTTACCCACATTAACCAATCATAACCAATCAATGGTATAGTTCTTCATGGCTCCCGTCTTAGTCGTCCTCAGCCGTAGCGTTCCAGCGCGGGACGGCGCCGCCCCGTCTTCGCCGCCACACCTATGGCGCCATCGCGATTTCACAGATTTCGCGAGGAAAAGTGATGGAAACCTCGATCTTTCTGGGGAAAACTCATGAAAATGACTGATTTGATTGGGAAAACTAATGATTTGAATGGGAAGAACATATACTTTATGATTACATTTATGGCTATTTATTGCTGTCAATAAATGGATTGGAAGGAACATCTAGAGGAAACGATGGATTTCACCACACAAATGCGGCTTTTTTCTATAGATTTTCCTTCAACCCATTCTGGGACTGCCGGGAGATGACCGCAACATCCAGTGGAAATTGCAGGTTATCTCAGCATATATCCAGTAGATTCCCCAAATATCAAATGAGCGATTGTGAAAACCCTAGGTTCACGGAAAGGACATTCACAAATTTGGGAAGGTCCCATCGCTTACCACACGTTTGTACAATAATGATATATTGTAAACTTGGGGGGTATCGCCTGCAGGAAACTGCTGTATTTATATATATATATGATGAACTATGAATAATATGTGATATTTGGGTATCGCTAATGTGGATATTAGAGAAATATGATGACATAACCTTGAAAAGGGGTATCGCTAATTTGGGAAGGTCCCATCGCTTACCTCGTGTTTTTAACAAGTTCCATCAATTTCCATAAGCCAATGTCCGTCGAATACATATTTAGTATTGCCGGGGTTTTTACGGTTGCTCAAATGATGGATGAGGCCCTCCGGTTATTCAACATAGCTATATGGAAAGTGGACCATAGAAAAAGATGATAAACATGATGATTTACCCATAAAAACTGGTGCTTTTCCAGTTCGCTCACCGCATAAGAGAACCAGAGGGTAAAACTGTTATTTAGCCGCCGAAGGCGGCATCTGCAACATCGTTGCAGGAAGTTCTTGTGGGCTAAACCTACCACCAGGGTCGCACAAAAAAAAAGTTTAAAGGTGAATCCAGAGCTCGTCAGCCCACTTGGTAGTGGGTATAATGGCTAGGTGTGGCATTGATAGGCAAACCTCAATCACCAAGTGGACGGACTGTGGAAAATGGTTTCATAAACATCATAAAATTTGAGTTTCCATTTCGAATCATGTCAACAGCGGATTAATAAACCATAGTTTTTGAATTAGGGGGTACTTCCCCAATAGTCACAATCTGATAATGAAATGATAGCCTCCCAATTAAACAGCCGTTTGGGGTTTCTTAATCCAGGGTTGACATTTTCCATGTTCGAATAGACTTCCACTTAAAAACATGAGACTGAATAATGATCCTCCTGTCTGATGAGACTGGCCATGGCGACATGGTCTTCGTCCCAGGGATGATGGAAAACAAACAGCATCCTCACCGTGAAAAACCTGTGTGTGTGTTTTCACCTGTAAGCCCGGGACGTTTCACATGTTGCTGCTGAAATTGTCGTCCCAAAGCCCAGAAGAAGTGTCGACCAATGGCCTGGAGGAATCAACATGTCACCGACTTCATGCGAATGTGGGATTCACCACCCCCAATTGGCATGATATAAAATTACCTAGTTGGGTATGATATAAAATGACTAGTTGGCTGGGTAGACACGATAGTGTTTTGATTCATGGAATGGTGTCTTTTTGGGTTTACCGCATTGATGTGGAATCATGAATTATGTTTCATGAGTTTGTGGGTCAGTTGGCACCCAAGTTTCGGGCCATGTCCTTCTGTGACATGCAAGCGTATACAACACCCCCAAAAAAACTCCATGCACCCCCCTGATCTGCATCTTTCTTTGCATGTTCAGACTAGAGTTGGCTCAACCCAAATACTATCAAGATAGCAAACATTTGCCATAGTCTATAGCTCCGTTGCACCATCAAAAAAAAACTGATTTCAAGCTCGTGCACAAGAACTGAAGCAATGACTACCTGCCTCTTTTGTGAACAACCATGATGTTATCAGGTGAATCTAACAGGTGTCAACCATCCCACATAGCTGGATCAAACAATACAAATCCAAGGTGTGCTTGTCGGATATCTGATTTGTTGAATCATGTGTATCCTCTGGTAATCGAAGTTGGAAACCACATTTCATCCAAACCCAAAAGTAATGTTTGATGGAAGTTAAAGCCACTTTTCACAAGCTGGTCTCAATCCAAAAATCAATCCAAATAGTACATTTGAACTGAGCCCCCAGGTGGCTCTTAAATCACGGGTTCCGAACGAGGCCAAAAACGAGGCCAGAAAATAGCTTTGGAAACCCCTTAGCTCCAACAGTTTAGCACGCTGCCCATGCTGATACCCGGCCATTTAGCAGCGCATCAGCCCGACAGCGCAGGCCAGCATCTATAGATGAATCCGACGCAACTACAGAATCTCCACCCCCGGCAGGGCGACATCCCGTGACCTCTTCTCCTAAGCGCGCGTGATTGTAGGTGTGGGTCAAATCCTGGACATCCGACCTCAGTGCCAACGCCAATTGGGTTCTCGGTCGGCTTGAAAGGATACCCAGGTCGCTTTGCAAATAGGCTCAGGATGGCTATATGATGAAAGACCATTGAGTAAAATATTGAAGAAACTCCAGCTGTCCGAACCCAAACCCCAACGTCAACAAAGTAATCCCATCCTGTGAGAGAATGCAGGTAGAACCATGTTTTCGTGAAGCAAAAAAGCATGCCACAAAGATTTTGTGACATGTTCCATTTTAGCATCCATAAATGGTCACTAGTATGGTTGATAGTGGTTTATAAACAAACCATAGGTCACTAGTATGGTTAATAGTGGTTTATAAACAAACCATGTCACTAATATGGTTAATAGTTGTTTATAACCAAACCATAGGTCACTAGTATGGTTAATAGTTGTTTATAAACAAAGGTCACTAGTATGGTTAATAGTGGTTTATAACCAAACCATAGGTCACTAGTATGGTTAATAGTGGTTTATAACCAAACCATAGGTCACTAGTATGGTTAATAGTGGTTTATAAACAAACCATGTCACTAGTATGGTTAATAGTGGTTTTAGTGGTTTATAACCAAACCATAGGTCACTAGTATGGTTAATAGTGGTTTATAAACAAACCATAGGTCACTAGTATGGTCAATAGTGGTTTATAAACAAACCATAGGTCACTAGTATGGTTAATAGTGGTTTATAAACAAACCATAGGTCACTAGTATGGTTAATAGTGGTTTATAAACAAAACATAGGTCACTAGTATGGTTAATAGTGGTTTATAAACAAACCATAGGTCACTAGTATGGTTAATAGCTGTTTATAAACAAAGGTCACTAGTATGGTTAATAGTGGTTTATAAACAAACCATAGGTCACTAGTATGGTTAATAGTGGTTTTAGTGGTTTATGACCAAAATTAACCAAACCATAGTATGGTCAATAGTGGTTAACTGGTTGGTGGTATACCTACCCCTCTGAAAAATATGTCAGTCAAATGGGAGTATGAAATTCCCAACTGAATGGAAAGTCAAAAAAATCATGTTCCAAACCACCAACCAGCAATGTAACATGTTTGACCACATCCAGTCTTGCCGCAGAGTGGTGAAGAGCACAGCATTTGTGGCACATCTTTGATGGAATCCGTGGTTTGCGGCAGCGCATTGCCACCCCTTAAATCTCCGTGGAAGCCCAAAATGTCCAGTGGAAGCAATGGAAAAGCATCTTCCAGCCTCATGTTCAAGGGTTCCATTCAATGCTCGTTTTTAGAGACATGTTCAGCTTATGCTTCTGCATTTGGAGAAGCACTGAAAACCGAAATGACCGTTCCAAACAGTAAGGGATTGCCCTGCTCAGGAACCATCTGGATGGTCTCAATAGACTCATGTGAAATCACCCTGATTTTCACACTGATGAGATAAACTGACTTGCATATTATAACTATAGATTCACTGTGATTTCAGATAAGTATGAGGTAGTTATTGTATTGATTGTATTGTATAGACAAAATATTTATATATATATATATTACCCCGGTAATCTATGACCATCTATAAATTATATACCTATTATGACTAAACACCCGAGTGATGTCGTTCGTCGAGGCGCTTGGTGAGTTGTTCCATGTTGGCACAGAAGAACTCCACAAAGACTTCCAGATAGGCCCTGCCAAGGATTTCCCATCCTGGATGATAATCATCATCATGATATACATATACATACATACACATACATACATACATACATACATACATACATACATACATACATACATACATATATATATATATATATATATATATATCGTGCAATGTTAGGGAGATCTGGATTGTATAATAAGTATATAATTGTCTATGTGTACACATGATATACAATTATATCGGCTTTGAAATATCTTGTGAAATGGATGATATATAAATATATGTATAAACATATGTTCAATATGACAATTCCCAATATTTTGGCATAAGCCCAGCATCCAAGGCACCGAAGGTATCTTGTAGATGATTTTCACAATGTACAAGTACTTAATCATTGCCATGTCTGAGTCTAGTTAAACTTCATGAAAAATACCACACCAGTAAAGCAACATGTTCTGGACTTCCCCATGGATCCCATGGGCTGCCGCGGCGCTTGTCAAAGCTCCGGATCTGGACCAGATAGCGATTGATGCGGACGATGTTCTGAAGACCTTTGCACATTGCACTGATGGATTCACCAGCATTCCGAATATTCTCTATTACAGCGTAGATGTATATCATGTATACAGCTGTGTACATACATGTTTATATTTTCATTGCACAAGTGAAAAAAACTGTGTACATGTTTTTTATATAATATATATATATATTTATTATATATAAATTAGATGGATAAACAATACAGGACATACACAACACAACTTTGAAAAACTCAACAGACACAGGTGGTTCAACCACCTAAAACGGGGCCTTTTTCAAACGGGTGATGGAAAACCAACACAATGGGGATTTTCGAAAAGGGTTACCCTCTGGTAAACTAACATAGCTATGGAAAATCACCATTCATAATAGGTAAGTCAACTATAAATGGTTCATTTTCAATAGCTATGTTAAATTACCAGAGGGTACATGTCCAGTTGATGGATTGAACATATTGAACCATCAAAATAAAGTGGGTTGGCTTGTCTCTTATCCTGGTTGGTGGTATACCTACCCCTCTGAAAAATATGAGTGAGTAACAGTTGGGATTATGAAATTCCCAACTGAATGGAAAAACACAATTCATGTTCCAAACCACCAGTTTATCCCAGTTTACTGTGCGCGCCACGTTGAGAGATGAACGTGACCCGTCTTGGGTGTTCTAGAGACCTAAAGAAGTCAAAACCACAGGTGTCAACCCTGCCCACTGCGCGGCAGAGGGCGGCCTGACCAATTTAATTTTCAAACACAAGTAAGAATACGAAAACAGAGCCTCACCGTCACAAGCAACGGCAAGGTACATACCACTTTTTATGGCACGTTCAAAAGGAGCAGCAACACGGGCCCCACACCAATCGGAAACAACCTCAACAAGTTTCACCTTCGAAGGGACAGGACCTCTGTAGCTGCAAGGTAAGGATTCAGAAACCGTTCCCAGATCACCTTGTGTGGTCGGGGACAAGTTCTTTGTACAACCGTGAATTGCCTCGGCTGTCGGAGATGAAGGGCCCAGAGCCACTGAGACACATACAAGGGAGCGGCGGTACGATCATCACCCTGAGGAGTCTCAACTGAGAAATCCAGGCACCAACAGCTGTAGTGCAAACCTCCATCACCGAAGCCTCCTAAAGTCGAATGTTGAGTAGGCAGGGGCACAAGCATGGGGCTACCATAGGTACAAGCAAGACCAGGTTTGTCGGTGGGCTTCTGGACAAACTTGTGCGCAGTAAAGATCAGCACATCAGTAGCAGAAACCCCACCCTGTGGCTCAAGATACCGTGCACCATGCCCAACAAGGGCTGTATGTTCGATGGAAAGCATTCCGGTACGAAAATCATCCCGCACCTCAGAAGGAAACCGTGGCCAAGCTTCCCGAGTTGACACCGAACCTGGGATCGTCACGTTTTGATCCTCCATGTCAGGCTCTGGAGGAAGGAGCCCACATTTGCCAGTGACAAAAGATCCGTAAAGCTTTCCAGCTTTGAACACAACGTCAACACAGAAAGGAAATCGCCTGCTCGTCCCTTCATACACTTTCCAACCAACGACTGGCAAACTTCCTCCACTGTGACCCACCGTGCGATGCAGCCCTGACTGGTCGCTGTAGAGTGCTGACTGCCGTGGATTCCTCGCATCTGCTGCCACTACCATGGTGTTATCCAAGCAAGCAACTGGAGACACAACATCTGAGTACAGGGTAGCACCATCCCACAGAATAATGGGAACATGACCAGCGTTGCGCATACCAAAGGCTAAACAATCAAGAGTGTTGAAGGCAAGGTCGAAAGAGTAGACCAATACCGTGATCAAGAGAGTCAGCCATCGTACCCTGGCACAGCAAAAGCCGCATGGAACACCACCAAGGTCACCAGGACAGCAGTAATCGAACATGGCTACAAAACATACCGCTCAGAGCTTGGCCAGCCCAGCCGCACCCCTGGGAGGATCTGAGCATCACGGCTGTTCCAAACCACCAACCAGTTATGGAATTGTATAATAACTTTGCTTTGGATTTTTGAGGATGTTTATTTCTTTGATGGAATGAAAGTGCTGATGTTTATATAATTTTATATATGACTTGTATATATATATATAGGAATAATTTTCTGTAAATCATAAATTGGTGATTCGGGTCAAGCTGAGGGATGCACCCATGGGCTCCCAAGGTGACTCTGCCATCTTCCATCACCAGCCACGTTTGACGACCGGGTAAGGCCGAACGGTGATATGCCCAGGACAGGACAGAATACATGATTGAAACTACCAAACAAAGCAGGTAGTTTAGAAATTTCCTCTCAACTATCCATGGAAATTCAATGACTAAAAACAATGATTGCAAAAAACAGTCAAGTTATAGCAAAGTTTTTGGAACAGAAACTTGATAGACTGCTTCACACCAGATCTCAAGACGCAGTTTGTTTTCGGGGACATCCCACAATCCCACTGCTAGACCATGTCTCTCCATCATGTGCCACTCCGAGGCGTGGTTCTGACGCTAGTGTCTCGTGAGCTCTTGTTTCCGACTGAACGCTTTGTTGCATGCCAGGCACTGCCTGGAGAGAAAGAACAGCATGTTCTCGTTTTCCAGCAGGGCTTCACATCTGAATCCACGGCCTCATGCAACAAACAACGGAGTTCCAACGTGCCTCAGTTCTCTTCCGTGCACGCCGCCTCTTCTGCGACATGATATTGGTACAGGTACTGGTTCCATGTCGAGTGGTGGGCCTTGTGGCAGTAGCATGGCGAGTTGTCGAAGAATGGGATGTGGTACTTGACAAAGTTCATATTGCAAAGTTTGCATGGGTTTCCTGTTTCCACCATCCAAAGCATGGCAATGTCCAGTCCCCACATTATACATTAGCACAACATGTTCACAGTTCAAATTTCAACCCAGACCTATTCACAATTCATTCTAAACTACCCTCTGGTAATTTAACATCGCTATTGAAAATGGCCCAGTCGAAATAGTGAATTTTCCCATTAAACATGGTGAATTTCCAGTTCGCAAACTGTAAACGTTTACCAGAGGCTAGTTGGATTCCAGTGCTTCCCAACCATGGATCCCTCGATGGCGATAGTCCCATTTTGCACCCTTGCTGTTGAAGATATCAGTAGTTCTATTAGACGATGATTCTTCGCCGTGGATCCAATAAAACCACAACTTCTCACGCTACTTTGTGGTTCACCCCAAGAATCATAAGTGGGTTAGTTATGGTTAGTTCACCCCAATGAATTGAGCGGACTATCCCTACACAACCTACGCATACAACTGGAATTAAAATCCACTTACTAACTGGGATTCAATCTATTGACTGGACGTGGAATAGTTATTCACATTTATTCACTAAAAAATCATTTTGATGCACTTACTAATCTCAACAATCCACGTATATATAGTATACCCCCTCCCCCTATTTATAGATGAATTTCCTATGAGAACCTCCAGTTGTTGACGATTTCCCACATTTTTTCGCATATTTCAGGAACTCAAAGGGTGGGCTTCCCATCCAGATTCTCGTTTTCCTGAGGCCAGGACTCAGTTTGTAGTAGTTGTTACACATCCATTCCCTCAGCCACTCGGTGTCCAAAAACTCCTGACACGGAAGGGACTGCAAATATTTAAATATCTTAGGGGGCCCAAACAGACGTATACAAGTAATATATATATATATACACATTATATATGCGTGTGTATTGGGAATTATATAGATTCTGATCTTCCAAGTAACTCAATATGATTGTTGGAGTGATCAATGAAGGAATAAGAACTGATAACCTTCAGAAAGAGCCGGGCCTATGGATCAAAAGGTCAACATCGGACACTCCAAGCATGAAAATGTTCTGATCAAACTGGAGCCATGTCTGGGTCCCAGAAAAATCCTAAGCTCATCCCATCGACTCGATGGGATCACTACCATCAAGCCAAATCAGTGGGATTCTTAGTAGTGGCTAGACCCTTTTTTTCAATATATGTATATATATATATATACAATGTATGTATATATATATATACACATACATATACATATCTAGTAGGGTAGCACATATTCCCTCATCCGCTTCACCAAAGGGGCGGCAAAAACCTGAACTTCAACCCATCAAATTGCCCTGTACCAAGGTTTGCCCAGTGAAATTCCATGCAGTTTTGTGGTAAACAGTCCCATTTTCATTGGACCATTCGCGATTCGTGGCAAAATAACATAAATCCCCAAATATTGTGGAGAAATTGTCATCTATTGAAATCTATGATATATAACCAGTAGTTGATGAATATATATATATATATATATACCTATCATATATCTACGGCCGCAAAGAAGTGACAAAAAACCGAGCCTTTCGCTTGGATGGCCCCATCATGGCAATGCCGAAGACAAAGCGTTCCAAGTGATCCTCCAACGATGTTGGAGGATCATCCCACGAATTGTGAGGTCAGAGGTCTCAAAGTGTGTGTGTGTATGCATATATATATATATGTGTGTGTGTGCATCTATGTATGTGTATATACATACATACATACATAACAAAACATAACATTTCATAACATAGCATAACAAACCATAACATTACATAACATAACATTACATAACATTACATTGCATTACATACTTACATTACATTACATTACATTATATTACATTACATTACCATATTACATTACATTGCATTACATTACATGACATGACATTACATTACATACATACTTACATTACATTACATTACACTGCATTGCATTGCCTTGCATTGCATTGCATTGCATTTGCATTGCATTACATTACATTACATTACATACATACAATATATATATATGCAATGGGAAATGAGTGGGCAAATTACTGCTATCCATCTATAATGCAGTTATGGTGATTCATTGTGACTTATCACCAAGAAGGGAGTGATCGATGGGTGGTGTCATTACCCAAATATGAATGGGATAATACATCCCAAACGGGGGAACTCCCTTGCCCACCAAGTTCTGGTTAGTTCACCCCATCAATGTCTAAAAAAGGGAAATTGCCTCAATGTCTAAAAAAGGGAAATTGCCTCCCAAATTTAATGGTTTATCAATGGTTATTATCATTTTGCGCAGTACCAAAATGTTTGGCCATTCTTGGGTCTCCTTTTTTTCAGGGGAGCATCCAACCATTTTTGGACAAACCAATCTCCATCCAAGACATATATCACCCAAGCTTCTCCAAGAGCGTCATCATTCTGGCCTTGGTCATATTGGCGGAAGTCAAGCTTCTGCGTGGACCAGCTGTGAAATCTTCGGGCGCACATTGCTGGTTGGGTGGGTTAAGATTAAGCCCAATTTCTTCATGTTTAAGTTATGCTCAATAATATGAACCCTCGAGACCCCGGAAGAGACTAAAACCTGGTTGGGTACCATAAAATGATCAACTGGATACTGAAATGATACAGAAAACAATAATTATCCGCCGACCCCTGCCGACAGCAGGGGGAGCGCGTCAGAGAAGAGGGTCAAGAGGCAAGCTGCAAGTTCAAGGAAACCTTAGCAATGTTTAGCAGTTGCTTGGTTGCTCTTGGTGTCTTTATTGTTGCTAAGTTAAATGTGTGTGATGTGTTCAAGTTTGCATCCAGTCTGTCACTGAAACTATTCACCACCATCATTGATGCCAAGGTAATAAGCTGGTTGACTGTGTGACCAGTTTTATTTTGGTTTTGGTTATCTATAAAACATTCCACCTGACCACTGAGTCATTCACATCCATGCGTGAACAGATCTGGTTGGCATTGGTCCTCTTGGTCCTATGTTTGTCTCAAAGCATCCACCTCGTCATTATTTCAATCTAAGTGATCAGGGGAACAGTGTTGCCCAGCGTCCCAGTTGATATCCATAGAATGCCTACAGAGGGAAAACATACTAGTAAGGTTGCATACCCCATACGGGGGTTGTATATAATAAGTTTCAAGTTCCATGATTATATATTTGTTAATGGTGTGTAAATTATATGTGGGCATAGTCGTGATAAATCCACTTGTAACAGCTGAATGGTTATTGTGAGCCCTTGGTCAACTTCCACAGCCAAGCGCCCCAGCAGGTTTATTTTTTGCTCAAAATCGTTTTGCCATCGCATCTGCAGTCTGTTTACCTTGCCATGGAAATGCTGTTAAACCCGCGAAGAATATTTAAGGACATCTTAAATACGGACTTGTCTACGGACAAGGTCTGATTATTTTTTGATCCAAGGTCCACGGACCGCATTGAATGAACCTCTACGGAGGTATTGTCCACGGACAAAGTAAACCTATAAGGACAGATCTGCACTTCGTCTTATGGACAGGAAAGTCATAGTCTACGGACTGACTTGCGGGTCTACTGACACATCATTGGTTCTGGTCTACGGACAGGAAAATCATAGTCTACGGACAAGATTTGAGAGTCTACGGACACATGCCGCGGGGAGTGTTTGCGGACAATTTTAAATGTGACTGTCTACGGACATGTGTGTTTCAAGACTTGCTTGAGGAAGCTGCTGCATTACAAGGAGTTCCAAAGAAAGTTGTGAGAGCCATGCAAAGGGCAGCTGAGGAACACAAGCTTCCTGCGCGCGCAGTGGATGCAAGCCTTGGCGATGCAATGAGCATCAATGTCTTGGCAAGTGTGTTGATGAAAGGCTTGACCCGCTCTCGCTTACTTCAATTCAGTGCGCAGGAAGACCATTGGAGACTAGTTGCCAATGGTCCGGACGCTGCAACGCTGAGTGACCGTTTGTTCGACGGAACAGCCCGGCCGGGACCAGGTCCAAAATGAACCTCGTCACAGCTTTTTTTGGCGGCCGCATCAACGGAGGCGAGTAAGGAGACTGGGATTTCCCCAGTTCCCTTACCCACTCCCAGCCCAGGCCAGACCCGGGTAAGGATAGTAGGGAGTGTGCTAAGCATACTGGGACAATCGCCGCCCCATCACGCACGCAAGTTTTGACACTATCCTTACCCACTCCCAGCCCAGGCCAGACCCGGGTAAGGAGACTGGGATTCCCCCAGTTCCTCTACTCATGCCCGTTGGAGCGTGACAGAGCGTTGACCACTTGTCTTACCCAAGATCCCAGCCCAGGCCAGACCCGGTAAGCAGCGCGACGTTTAGCGGTTGCACGCCCAGTGTTCTTACTCACTCAAGTCTTCATGATATAATAATTGATGATAAGATAATGATTTATTATTATTAACTTTGGCATTTACGATTCTATCATCACTGTTGCACGTCATATCCTGTCTCACCTGCTGCATTTCGATTCCCTCTGTGACAGCCATGCCCATTGTTTGCCACTGTCGGCCCAAAGTGTTTTTGTAGGAACAGGAAGTGCTTGACAGACACTGTCCAAGTTGCTGGCCACTGCAATGACCGTAGCAGCCTCAGAGATCCGGAACATTTCCGCATGGCGCTTGAATAAGACTGAAATGAAAGAGCTCGCTGAAAGGGTTGAGAAAGGAGAGGACGAAGCGGTGGTGAAGAAGGAGCTTCAGACCAAGAAGGCTGTGGCCTGCGAAGAGCGTAAGAAGTCAGCTGCGGCGATTTCTGCCAAGCCTGGATCCACGGGCCCCAAGGCAAGCAAAAAGACTTCGTCGTCGCCTGCAACTCAGTCAGCCACGGCTGCTGCGACTCCAGACCCAACGAATGCTGGCTACTACGCTCTGGTAGAAGCGGACCTCCAGACAATTTTGCAGGAGTTCCCAGGCATTGACCAGGAAATGCCTTTGCCGCTCTCCAAGTCTGAGTTGGACGGATCCAAGACTGGGGTTCAAGAACCCTTTGACTTGTCCAAGGCTCAGCATGCCCTTGGGATTCATGGAGTTTTTCGTTGATTCATGACGCGGTGAAAATGAATTGTTGCTGCAGCAGTGGCCCACTTCACGACATGTATGGCACAGATCCATGGAATTATTTATTGAAACTTCACGTTTAATGGCACTTTCACGTTTAATGTGTATGTGTGTGTGTGTGTTTGGGTTCTACAATGAGCCAATGGTTTTATTACATTAACAACATGTATAACATATCTATGGGTTTTGTCTTTCATGTGAATTTGGTTGAGAAGATTGCAAAATAATTACATATTAATGGAAACAACCAAAAATCATGGATGTACTATTATTGACCAATTAACAATGACAGTAGACTCATGGCTACTTAGAATGTAAAGGTTTTGGTTAATGTAACCAATGGGGTCACTGGGTCATTCTAGAACCATTGGGTCATTCTGGAATCCAAGAATGCAACCACACTTGGCTCCTTTGTTTTTTGCCCAGCCCACCTAAACCTAAGATTGCCATGACATGAACCACCAAGAGCTACCAAGCAACAGCTAAACAACGCCAAGAAACAGGGGACAAGAAACCAGGGAAAAAGAGGGGCAAGAGGCTAGCTGCAAGAATCAGCGGGGCAGGAAGCAAGCTGCAAGAACAAGCGGGGCAAGAGGCAAGCTGCAAGTTCAAGAAACCAGGGGACAAGAAACGGCAAGAGCAAAAAGACGCAGCTAGCTTCTTGTAGGTGCAGAAAGCGACGTTAGGCACTACAGGCCGTTGCCCGGAGGCCCGTTCCGTCCTCGAGCCAGGGCAAGAAGGCAGGAGAAAGCGGCGGCAAGAGCAAAAAGACAGCTTTCTTTTCGGTGCAGAAAGCGACGTTAGGCACTACAGGCCGTTGGCCCGTTCCGTCCTTCACTGCCATGCTCTTGCACAGATTGAATCTCAGTGGATAGTATCCCAAAGGATACTCTCAGCACGTACAATAGCTGGATTCAAATAAGTCGTCTCCAAAAGATCTATCACTCTACGGCGACACGCACCCCCCGCTCACCACCCCCGAGGCCGCAGCCCCTGGGGTCGGCGGCAGGGGGCACAGGGGCCCCCTGGCCGTGGCATTGCCGTACGGCAGCCCCCCTCTCCGTAGGAGAGAGGGGCCGCCACCCCTGCCGACCTCTCCTCCCCGCTAAAAAGTACCGCGTTTTACGGTGTCTTGTGCTCGTCCCATTTTTTCCAATTTTTCGGATCTCGTGGCTCGAGCTGGGTCAACATGGGCCAACATAGGCCTCAAGGTGGGCCAACATAGCCTCAAGATG